TAAACATATTTATAACTCTTTTAAGTACTAAAATTACATAATAACATGTTTTCCTACTTACAAAAATGGCTCACATTTTTCTCATGAGGAAATGGTATTAGTTGTCTCATTTGGAATACGTATTGTAAATTGTTTTTAGAAAAGTTTTAATATTGTTTTTCTTACAAATACTTCTTTAAATTATAGAAAAAACTAAACAAACATTTCAAAACTACCATTAACAACTAAGAGGTCCCGATTTTGATTTTTGTTGAACAAAAAATAAATAATTAATACCTATTACTATATTAGTGTGCGAAGTAAATGTTTATATAATGTGGGGCTGCATGTATTTGTGTTATGTATAAGTCTATCAGTTTAGATATGTTAGCTAAATGGTACTTAATTGCAAAAATTCAAGGGAAGTCTCTTTAAAATCAAGAAAAACTCTTAAAAAATTTATATATTTTTCTACTTGAAACTACGCCGTGTTGTAAATTTTTGGAAAATGGTCAAACTATTTCTAAAGTTTTGGAATATTCACTCTCTAAAAGCGTAGGAAACTATTTGTTGATCTCCCTTTTTCCAGAAGGCACTTTTGGAATAATGGAACTATAATAAATTCGTTTCGATGCCAATCTACAGATGTCACATAAGGAATTAATAATTAAAAAAACTCTATATTTATTACGCCATTTTATAAACTATGCATTGATTATATTGAGTAAATGATGAAAATAAATTTAAGAAATAATGATGGTTTAATTTGAACTCTAAGTGCCAGGCTAAACTTTAGTAATAGAGTATTTGATTAATTGTGTTTACAATTGTATACGACACTAAAAGTGTCAAAAAGGCTCGTGAGGAATTGAAATTTAATAAACAAATTCATGTTCGGCGTATGGATGAAACTCGTTTGGGGTGAAATTAGGTTGGAAATTCTGGGAGACAGAGATGCCTCTCATAGATATAAAGTTGTAGCACATAAGAAGGAAAATATATTAGACGTGTATTTTTCCAATAACATGTTTTCATGTAAAACTAAAAAAATATCATTGTGACCTAAATACGAATTTATCGGTTTGAAAAAAACAAAAAGCAACAAATATTATGTTGCTATTACACATTTTATAAAAGCGATACCAAGTTATCTGATTTGCTGTACTATACAAATGGAGAATGCTTAACTTAGATATAGGACAAAAATAAAGATAAATAGAACCCTTTTAAACTTCTAAAAACTTTAAGAAACTGTTTATAGTAAATCGTTAACATACAGTACAGTTAAGCAATATTATAATAATAAAACTAACTAACACAGCAATAACTGACTTTAAAGTACTGACAATAATACACAAGAAGAACTTGTATACTATTATACAAATTAGTGAATTGACGTAAACGGATAAAAAATATTACGTAGTGATGACAAAATAGTTAATACAATTAAATTATTTATGTTACATTTATAATTTAATATATATTTGTAACAAATTATATTATATATGTTATTATGTACCATAGTAATGGTGTTTCATTCCTAAATTTGTATAGCTTTATGCAAAACTTAATCAATTGTCTACATGATAGTCAAACACTTGATATAAACCGCCACAGCGAATGTAATTGGAACTGTGATAATTTAGAATTTGTTGCTTTGTATTTTTGACTAATTTATCTAATGCAGCGTGTTAAGGGTAGAGGCAACACCTTTATAAATCGTATATTAAAAGTAAGTACTTTACCGAATGTTTGTGTATTTTACTGTAAAAAAGTAACACAAAAAAAAAAAAAAAAAAAACGATTACTCTAAAATGTGTATTAGCTTAAAATTGTTTAACCTTTAAAAATAGTAGGTATAATTATACTTATAAAGAGAAAAAACGTTAAAAATATCACCACATACAAATTGTGGATCTAATCTTATTAACCATATCCAAAAAATAAATAAATTATATTTTTTCACTTTAAGTTAAAAGTTAGAACCGGATCCAATCATTTATATAATAGATCACCTTAAGTAAGTGGTAGGCTATTAGTACAATATCCCCCCTTGTATCTGCCCTGAAAGCAAGGCCTTGTATCTTATCATTCATATTATTATTTAACTTTCATATTGAATTTTACTTATACATATGAGTTCTAACAACTAACAAATTTTCAACTTAAAGGTCCTACAATCAAAGCTAAAAATTAAAAAAATTTAAAAAATCGCACCACTCTAGAGGGATGGGTAAATTTTTAATTTGAGACTACTGACGTGTGGGGGGCATGCCAAATAAATAATCCTTATAAATTTCAACTCGATTCAACTCTTTTTTTTTTTTAAACTTAAAATTACGATAAGCTATAACTTTTTTTAATAATAGTTTAATTAGTTGGGCTATAGAAAATGGTTTTAAAAATAAGACTGAAGGTACATTTAGAGTGGGAGTTTAACACTGCGCTTATTATGGAAAATCTAGAACTGTTGTAATTTTTTTTCATAGCATTATTGCACGCTGTACACAAAATTTTAAAAAATAGTAACACGGCAATATCAATAAATTTATATATTTCGGCCATTGACTAGTCTTTAATAATCATTCATAGCCCTTTATAATACTGATTGAATCGTATATTTTTTCGTCGAACGATATCAAACTAAAATAAATTACATTTTAGACATTAACTAGTCTTTGTTAATCATTCCTAGTCCTTAGAATAATGATTTAATTGTATGTTTTGAATCTAACGGTAACAGAGTAAACTATACCGGGTGATTGGTTAACTATGGACCACTCAATATCTTAGAAGATATTAGACTTTTTTAATTATTTTTTTTTTGTACTATTATAGTTATTAGGTGGGACAAATTTAATGTATTTTTCAAAATTTTTACACCATCCCTTATGCGTTAAAACCATATCAACTTTAGATTTTTAAATGGTAACCCCCAAATTTTTTTTGATGATCGTGTTTATTTTTTTTAATTTAATTTTAGGCGTAAAAACTAGCTAAATCAGACAAGTACTTTTAAAGTTATAGCTTAGTACTACAATATTATAATATTAGCTTATATGAGATGCTTTTATAAGTTTTACAGCTAAAGAAAAAAATCGTTTATCGCCGGATCTCACGTTTCACAAAATAAGATTGATTAACGATACGGATGTAGATTAAAGTTAATAGTTGACGGTCGTCGGTCACAATGAAAACGAACTAATAATAAATCTATAACAATATTATATGGGTAATGTGTTCTTATCTGTTTTTTCTGTAGTGTTCCTAGCGGTGCGGTGTACCTGTACGTATTGAATATTAGGCATTAGCTGCTGTTAACAAACAATATTATGAGCCCTAGTAAATAGTTTTTTTTTCAATTTCAACCATAGGCTACCGTGGTCTAATCACGGTCTTATATAGAGTATATACCGTGGTTCTACCAAAACGATTCGTTACTAGTGTAGATTAATATCAACACAGAACAAATTATTATAAAAATACGACTACTTGAAAACTAATAAAAAAGTTCATTATTCTAATTTTTCAATTATTATGGTTATTTAGCGTCTTGGTTTTTACTTTAAATATTTAGCGTCTTGGTCTTAATAAGTGTTACTTGTACTGGTGTCTTAACTAGTCAAATTATTAATTCTGTTAGTGAAAATATTTTTAAAAAAACTTTAATAAATAACATTCAATTTTTTGTTTTTTTAGTATAATGTTGTATTACATACAGTTAATAGATAATATGTACAGAATATATACAGAAATAAACAAAAACTAAACTTAATATGTACAGAAACTATTTTAGCATTTGTCTGAACTGGTTATGATAGGTACTTAAGATGTCAAATAACATCTTTATAAGGCATCTAGTGTGTTTCTTAAAATGTTTAGATAACAAAGGATTCCATAAGAAATACGTTCATCCAATACTTGTGCACTAAAAAAAATTTTCATTTTTATAATTTAAAGTTGTAATGCGTCAATTTGAACTATTTCTAGTTCAGTATTTTTAATTATTAAAAGCTGTATTTATTTATTAACTCTTTATTATATTACACTACTATACTATACTAGTATATTATACTGTATATATTTCATAGTATTGACTATTCTTACTTATTTTAATGTGTTCATAATATGAACAGTAACAGTATGTTTTTTATTTAATAAATGATTGTTTTTTTCGTTGTACGAGGTATAAACAAAAATTTAGAGTGACAATGAAAAAGTACAATTTTTTTTGTTTTTGTATGGCTTTTTTAACAGTCATAAGCTTAAAATTCAATAATAATATTACTAACAAACATTTAAATACTATATTATGTTATGTTTATTATGATAATAGTAAAATAAAAAAACAAGTAACAAGATAAATAATACGCTTATAAGATACGAATAAACATTTTTATTTGCTAAATCATATTGAAAAACTAAGACTAAATAAAATTAACATATCTATAATTAACTTGTAAATAATAGAGGTACAACATATTGCTGTATATAGTGATGTATTTATAGGAAGTTACCTTGGACGGTAAAGTTTGTTTGATAATTTCCCACTAGAAGAAATCCATCTCCATTTACATATCAATAATAATAATATCATATAAGTTAAAAAATATTTATAAGTATATTCATTCAATTTACTTTTTTACACTTAATCCAATAGTTAACATTTTTTTTTTCTTCTATTTTGTGTTTTATAATTTTATTTACTTTATTACTTATAAAAACTTAATCGTAAACCACTAGAAAGTTGTCAATAAATTCTGTAATAGCTAATGCCAAAACTATGCCATCATGAAAATAATTTCAAGATTTGGATTAAGACAATAACATATTTTAGAAATATTAACATTCTCAGCAGCATTTTAGATTAAATTAATATTAAATAAAGAATTCATCATTAATAATTAATAAATAATGTATAATAATTATAGATATGTTAAGTATATGTGTGTTTAAAAACTTTATGTCACTTTTAAAATGATAAAGTACTTTTAAATTATTTTATTGGATTACATTTTTAGCTGAATAACTAAATATATATTGTTGTCTAATATTTGATTTGAACTTGTGAATCCATCTTATTCTTCTTACTGACTTAATGGAAAACCGTTATCTGCAATAGTGTGCCACAGTAACTAAAAAATAATAATAATAAAAATAAATTGTTAGAGATGAATTCATAGAAATTAACTAAATTATTGCAAACTGATGATCTTATATATTTTACCTTAAAATAAAACACCTATAAATTTACTGAAAATTGAATACCACAACATTCGACAATGTATTGATGGAATTGTATTAGACTGATTGACTACAATAATATAATACACCAAATTTGACGTTGGTAGTAGTGTAGTTGTAGACAATAACAAATATCAATTTAAGTTGAGATAGTCCATATTAATATTGAACATACTGAAACATATAATTAAAAAAATTAAATAAGTTCCTTAGATACTTAAATAATTATATGGTTAAGCAACATATATCAGTATACACATATATTTTTTATAATTATACAAGTATGATAATTTTTAAGTTAAACGTTAATTTTTAAGTAACGCATTTTAATTAAACATATTAAGTATGATAAACATAAGTAATCCAAAAAAACTTATTATGTAAAAACATTTTATATGTTCATGAATAATAAAAAACGATTAATTATATTTTTCTAATAAAAAAATGTACGTATACAATACACCTATATTACGAGTAATAAATACATTATCTTACCTATTATTGATTCAGTAAATGATGATTGAAGATTCAATTTTTTCTTTGAATTCAGATACCAATATGTTAAAACACAAAACTACACATTTATAAGTTTCTCAGAACAAAGACATAATACTGTAAAAATAAAAGTTTTAATTAAAATATCATCAAGCATAATTCAAATTCCTCTATTTATTTTAAATAACATATTATTATTATAAGTACCTTTAATTTTGATATTTGATGTGCATACATTTTATAAGTAAGGTTATAGGTTTTATAGACTTGTCACTTGAGCAAAACTCCATCTTGGTATTCACATTGATTATGGATATTTAATATCAATGTTATTATTTAAAACACAATAAATGTTGACAAGTTCATAGATCTAGTAAGTTATGATACTATATTATTATAATATACTATGAAATTAAGACGTACAAATCGCATGAATAAACAAAATGTGTCAAATTAACCAAAACATATAATTGCTAAATGCTGGAAAAATATACACAAGGTATTGATAACAAATTAAACATACCTACTATTTAATAAAATAAATGTAAAAGTGTGTAGTGGTGGTATATTTGTCAGTCGATATAGCGGTTATCATTATTATTTACTATCGGTGAATTATTTACCTAAAGTAAATAGTGTTTGGTACGGTTATGATTTTTAAACGATACTATAGCTATTGTCAAAGTTAATTGTCAATAAATAATAACAGAGAGCAGTCAAGTGTCACCTTAATATGTTAGCGTCTCCAAGATATTTAATTTATTTTTTAAACTCCCTTAAATTTTAAAACTGTGTAGCTCGTTAACTACTCAATCGATTTACCTAGTTTTTACGCCTAAAATTAAATTAAAAAAAAATAAACACGATCATCAAAAAAAAATTGGGGGTTACCATTTAAAAATCCAAAGTTGATATGGTTTTAACGCATAAGGGATGGTATTAAAATTTTGAAAAATACATTAAATTTGTCCCACCTAATAACTATAATAGAACAAAAAAAAAAAAATTAAAAAAGTCTAATATCTTCTAAGATATTGAGTGGTCCATAGTTAACCAATCACCCGGTACATTTTACAGCACTAGTACTTGAAAAACTTAACATGATTCATAATATGTTATTCATTTGATGGGACACTTAAATAAATAAGTTGCATAAAAAAAGGTATAGTTTAGCTGTATTAAACTAGGTTATAGAACCAAAAACAATAATTTTTGTGGTTTTTTTACACGTTTTTTATTTGCAACATTAATACACAAAATATACTTTTTTGGCCAAATATTTTCGCAAACAATGAACACATACCGCATACACAACAATAATACATTAACAATGAACAATGTACACTCCCTCCACTTAACAAATGAGACAAACAATTTTGTGTAGCACGTATCTCTGTATATAATGTAAGAAAATTTACTGTTTCTTTAGTATAATATTGGACATCTCTGGAGTTTGACTTTAGCTTAAAATTTTTCTCTTACTAAAATGGTAATAATTCATGAATGCACAATTAACTATTACAACTACAGTTATGTCGTTTTTCTACCTATATCTATATAAAAGTTATTTTAATGTAAACTGGGTTTCGACCAAAAGTAAAACTATAAACGTTTTTTGTAAAATATAACACTGTTTAATGTGTTAGATTTTAAAGATTTTTCATTCGTTTACATTGCTTCAGTAAATAGAATTGACAACAAGTTGATCACGTTTAAGTGATTTTGTATCATTTGGCTGGCTACACTATGGTCTTGATAAGAATAAACCAGTTTTAGAACCTTATTTGTTGTTTGTGTTGTTGATAAAAGCTCTGATATTAGATGCTATATATTAATCTGTGTATAAGTTTAAATGTTAAAGCATTAATCGTATATGTATCAATAAACCCGATTTAGATTATTAGCTGATAATCATTTAATCACTTGAGACCTTTTTTAATTATTTGGAAATTTTTATTTAATGTAATTTTAAAAAAATTATGTAATTTCAAATTTAAATATTATTAGTCCCTTGACTTTAAGTGCTAAACGTAATTACAAATAATTTGTTATGTTTCAAAATTATTATTTTAGTGTGTTCAATGATTTGTATTTTCATCGACAGTTTTATGCTAACAAAACTGAATATTTTTTAATTATTTTTATAAATTATTTCAAGGTACAATTTTATTTTACAGATTTGTCTATCTGCTAAATTATCTCAACAATTTCGTATATACATCGTTGTTTAGTACTACATTACACGACGACTTCACAAATCGGGCTTCAAGAGTTGAAATTGTTGTATTAATGTTTACATTTCATAGTATAACCGTTTCAAATACGTACAAGAATTTTTTTTTTTATAATAGATAAGGTGTTTAAAAAATTGATCATGAACTTGTTATTATAATAAGGCCGCAGCAGATGTTCTTTAAATATTTATTTTCAGACTTTAGGCATGACGTACTACTAACATATACTTAAAACACGTGTAAAAAAATGTCTGTAATCAACATTTTTTGTTATAAAAAATTACCAATAATTGTCAACATTGTTTTTACAATTTTCCACAATCCTCAGCATATTATTAAAAATACTTTTTCGCCAATATTTTTTAGGAAAACGCATAACAATTTAATGTGTATATAAATATTCAATAGTCAATGAAGCTCTAAAACGGGTGTTATCTGTAAATAAATCGGAATGTTTTGTCACTTGGCAGATATTTTTTTTTATAAACTCTTGACAGACCAAAGAAAACAAAGCCAATACTGTAGCGTTGGGGTATAGTGGGGATGGAGCATTATGGAGACGATGACGTCTTCAAGTTTCACTATATCTCCAAGTATTAAAATCACTTTCGAATAATCTCTTTGATGCGAATCTTTATAAAGTTCAAACCAGTACAGTCTAAACCAAGCGCAATTCAAACCAATATAGTAGAAACGTGCTATTGTGATGTCCAGAGTCTACAAATTTGCATTAAACCATTTATTTGAAAATGATTTTATCACTTTCTGCTATAATAGTTTTTGTACACCTATGACCTACCCGTCCCCACTGTGTCCCGTCTGGCTTTTTTATGTTCTAGGTGTGAACTATTAAAACACATTTTGTTTTTTTTTCATATTAGTCTATCGTTTAATTTAAAAGGGATATTAATTAAAAGTAAACTATTCAATTTGTATTTTACTCGTTGTTATTTTTTTATAAGAGCATGGCGTTCGGATGATGTCAACAGAACAAAAAATAACTCTAATTTTTTCGTTTCTCACATCTGGTAACCGTAATAAACTTAAAAAAAAATTAGATTAAAGCCTAAAGCTGGTAAATACAGGGTGATCCACTTATCGTTAACCATTTAATATATCATAGGGTTTAATAAAAAAAATGTTTTTCATATTGTTTTTATACAATGTGATCTCAATTTTTCAATTTTTTTTTGTATTTACCCCCTCCCAATTTAGATTTTTTGATAGCAACTTTTGAAACTTAAATATTAACATATATATTTGAATACTTTATTAAATAGAGAATAAAGTATTACAAATTTTGACTGGTCGATAACCTGTTTCGGATACCTATTTTTGAAGTTATAAGAGTTTAAAAGTTAGGATGGGAGGAGAATAGTATTATTTTAAATTAAGCCCAGTGAGATATTGACTGGTTCATGATAAAAGAATCATCCTATATTTTGTCTTTTTTAATCTACAACAAATCTACACAACTTTGGCATATTAGGTACACAAGCTAATAATTTATTTTTTCCTACACATAGAAGTAGTGTAATGCAAATCGATTGTTTTGCTAAACATTTTAAGAAGTTAAAATGATTTTATTGCATGTAAAATATAGCTTATAAGTGTGTAGTGCCACCACATATTATTATGGAATGTCTGGGAACTTCGTGACGGATAGGCCATATAAAACACACACGTGCGCGAAGGTTCGAACACATTCCATAATATGTGGCGGAACTACAAGTCATAATGTGCACTATTTTTGACAAATACCAATTTTCCAATAATAAGTTTTTTACGGTCACCAAGGAAACTGCTTTACGTTTACAGGCGGAATGAATAACTTTTCATAGCAACCAAACGGCCCAACGCCATTTTGAGATATACAGAGTGATCATTTTAACGCAGGACAATCAATATCGCTTAAGCTAGTTGCAGTTTTCCTTTAAAAAAAAAAAGTATTGTTGTTGTTATTATACAATATTATGAAATTACTAAATATTTAACTTTCTTAGGATTAATTTAAAATAAAATACAGAATTGAAAGAGAAAGGGATGCTTTTATTAAAATGTTGAAAGTATTCAAGTATCGCGATTTGTCTATTGGTACAAAAATCCGACTGTTAAAGTGTAATGTGTTCTCTGTATTACTGTATGGAGTCGAAACCTGGACACTAACAGAGTAAACGTGTAAGAAAATTGAAGCTTTTGAGATGTGGTTATATAGGCGAATACTAAAAATCAAAGTGTACTGAAAAAGATGGGAAAATAGAAGGGACTTTTAACAACAATAACAGACCGGAAGGTAGCATACATGGGATATATCATGAGGAATAATCAACGATACAAAATACTCCATCTTACATAACAAGAAAACGTCGAAGAAAAAATAAGTGAGGGAAGAAGACGAATATCTTGGCTGAAGAATCTCCGCGACTGGCGTAATAAAACATCAATTGATCTATTTCGAGTATCACTTGACAGGGACAACATTGTCAATATGATATCCAACGCCCAAACGGACAGGAACTTGAAGAAGAAGACGGATTAACCGAAGCTCTATAACTTTTGACACTTAAACTGTAACGTACATACAGCGTGATCAGGGTGAACAGAACTCTTTATCCAGAGGCCCACGTTTGGGGTTTTCAGTTGATTATGTATAAAGTTATATTTTGTATTCTGAATTTTTGTTGTACGTTAATACATTATAACGAACGACAAAGTGTGCAAACAGCCGCAAGTTTATAATATTTTTTTATGCGTTTCATTTACCTAATTAAATTTGTATCGATATCAAATATAAAATAGTAATA